AGGCTCCAACGGACCAATACATTAAAGGGGTGATTGGCTTGATTTATGGGATTGAATAAATTTGGGATCTGCAGGATATTGGCTTCCCATCGATGTTTGGAACTTACCCATCGCTGGTAAGCCAATTTTCCTTCAGTTTTGAAGCCAACGGTTACCTACCCATCGATGGGTAGATGCTTCCCATCGCTGGGTGGGAGGTTGACTTTCAAATAAGGAAAGAATCAGCCTTAAATGACTCGCAACGGTCATGCCTAACCATCGATGGTTAAGCCTTCCCATCGCTGGGTTCCCATCGATGGGTAAAGCTTCCCATCGCTGGGTAAGGGCATTCTGCCTTGTGGTAATGTTGCACCAAGGCTTTAACAGCGATGGGTAGAACTTCCCATCGCTGTTTGGCATGGTTCTGGAAATCAGTTTCGTTGAGGGACTGCTTACCCATCGATGGGAAGATCTTCCCATCACTGGGTGGCATGATTCTGGAATCCCGGGATCACTTACCCATGCATGGGTGAAATCTACCATCGCTGGGTAGATGGCTAGCCCAGAACCATGGCCTAGCTGACCGGCGCTGAAATCCGATCGAAAAATGCAAAGTTCTCCAAAGTAAAAACTAAGTATATAAAACACTTATTTAATGTATTTTGATGTCAAAACAAGCTTTGTAAGTTGAAAAACACGTCGTTAAGGTAAAAACCACGGTTGACCAAGTCAACACCGTACACGGGTGGTTTTCACCAAAAGACAAAACCGAAAGGTGGTTTTCATGATGTTTTGATTGTAGAACCATTTAAATTCATTCAAAAACAATTCCCACACAAAAAGACTTCGAAAACCACTTCATTTAAGTAAAAACCACGGCTAGCTAAGTTAATGCCGTTTCACATGGTTTTTATCAAACGACAAAAAACGAAAGGTGGTTTTTGAAGTGTTTTTGATGAAAAACTATTTAAATGTGCCCAGAAGTAAAAACCAGTCATAAAAAGTTGAAAACCATTTGGTTAGTTTGGACGCCAAAAACCAACGCCGAAAACCGAATGCCGAATGCCGGTTTCTGAAACCCGAACGCCGGATGGCTTGGTTTTTGGTTTGGGCGAACACCAAGTGTTTTTAATGACTTTAAAAAGTTTGAAAAACATTTTTATGATGTAAGAAATACAATGAGAGATTTTAGCCTAAAGAGCCAAGGTGTAAAGATTGGGTCGGTCTTGATCACAATAAAGACCGACTCAATACTATGATTAAGGTCTTCGTTCTTGGTCTTCGTTTAGAGCTTGCTCTTATCTTCGTTCTTCGCCTTGTATATTCAATTTTTGACTTGATCACGGCGGTTTGGCATTATCAAAACCTGTTACAAAAACGAACACGGCTTTAGAACGAAAACGTGATAAACCCGTGTTTTAACAATTTCCCCCTTTTTGATAATGGCAAACAAGACGGGGTTATGCACAGGAGGATTGATTTGAGACTTAAAAAATGTTCCCCCTTAATAAATGCAATTTAGAAATAGTTCCCCCTCAATCTATGCATAACCTTTATATCTTCCCCCTTTTGACATTAACAAAAAGAATTAAAAGTAAACTTTTATTCATTTAAAAGGGAAATGCAGAATACAACGGATAAAAACACAATCATATCTAATAAGGAGAAAATAAAGAAGATGTCGTGGCGCCGGTGTTGGCCTTCTTCTTTGAAGCCTCGGTTTTGGTCCTTGACTTTCCCCCTTAGTTTATGCATAACCTTAATATCTTCCCCCTTTTGACATTAACAAAAAGAATTAAAAGTAAACTTTAGAATTGTAAAAGTAAACTTTTATTCATGAAAAAGGGAAATGCGGAATACAACGGAATGGAAGAGAAAATAAGAAATACAATCATATTTAATAAGGAGAAAATAAAGAAGATGTCGTGGCGCCGGTGTTGGCCTTCTTCTTTGAAGCCTCGGTTTTGGTCCTTGACTTTCCTCTAGCCATTGTTGAGGCGTTAAGAAGGCGAGTAGAGGCTTAAAGTATGCAAGAGGAATGTGAGTTGTGTGTTAAAAATGATCAAGGATGGTTAATATTTATAGGAAAAGAGAATTTGGGCCCTTGATGTTAAAAAATATGGCTGTTAGGCATTGAATGAGGTGCCCAACAGCTATGATTTTTGAACTGCAATAGGCTTCCCAGCGATGGTAAGGTTCTCCCATCGATGGGAAGACAAGTACTGGAAACGGAGGAAAAAAGTGAAGGCAGCCTTCCCAGCGATGGTAAGGTTCTCCCATCCATGGGAAGACAGCTACTGGAAATCCGTTAAAAAAGATTTTTAAAAAAAAGTGTCAAACACCCAGCGATGGGAAGAAGTTCCCATCGATGGGAAGAGGGCTGCTGGTTAGAAAATACTTCCTTCCCAGCGATGGGATAAACCACCCATCGCTGGTTCCCCCTGAGTTCCTCACTTTGATACGTACCTGCAAAAAAAACAACACTTTGGTACCCAAAGTATGTCTATGGGTCCTTGGGGGTTAGTTAACCTTTATTGCCCACACACACACCCAAAATTCGTTTCCTAACGC